CAGCCCCGGAACCCCGGAGCGGGCCGGCCGGGACTCCCAGTGCCAGCGCTCGGGCTGGGGCCCCGGAGGAGGCCCAGCCCCTGTCCTGCCGGTGGCTGCTCATCAAGAGCTGCCTGAAGCTCCCCGCCCCCGGGGAGACACCCACGATTGCCATCCTGGACGCAGAGTCCCCTTGATGCCTGTCATCGCCGAAGGCCGGGCCGCCAGGCCAGCCGCCCAGCCCGGGCCCTCCCCGGGAGAGCCGCCCTCGCCCGGCCAGCCGCCAGCCCCCGCAGCCAATCAGCTCGCGGGCCTCGCAGCCAATCCCCGACTCTGGCCCTGGCAGACCCGGCCCTGGCACCGCCTGAAAGTTGACAATTAAAAATGAAACCGAACCCAGCCCCACCCGGCGGCGGGGGCTCCGGGGCGCCTGGGGTCACCCCAAACAAGTGAGCACGAGCGACCAGGCCGCCGGACCCGCTCCCCACCGCCGGGCGCGCCCAGCCCGCGCCTTCCTAAGGAGACAATCTATTTCTCCTCTGACCAGAGGGAAAGAAATCATTACTACATGATTAGTGGCCCGGGTCGGGTGAGGAACAGCAGTCCCGGGGAAGGCGGCAGGACGGGTCGTATTAATTACCTCGCGCGTGTGGCGAGATCATTTTATCAGCGATGTGGCCACTGGTAAGTTGCAGCTTTTGACAAAAGTGGGTGCGTCCTGAGCTGCTAGGCCGTGCGGAGAGAGCCGTGTCAGACGAGATGCATCCCGTCAGCTTTTCTCTGACAAACCAAATTCATTCCTTATGTAATTGATAACGGCCTTGGCCAATTATTTCACACATTACAATACACAGAGGCCCCCTTTACAGGTTTTGCAGGGCTGTAATTAGCTATGCTAATATCCCCTTTATTGGCCCTAATATTGCTCAACACCTTTCGCCATCCTGGAACCCACGGAGCCCCGTGGCCTGTCAGGGCCGCTGATTATTGAGAAGGATAGCTTTAATCAAACATAATTGCAGTTAATTTTTCTCTCCTGCTCTCTGTTGCCAGCGCCTAATGCCACGGACTCCTTGATATTCCATTAAATTACAATTAAACAGCCTCCTTTGTCTCTGATTGTCCTGAACAGCACCACAAAGTTCTGTAGCCGCTTAAAGGAGCCTGTTTGGTCCTAATTGCCTGCTAGCTCACAAAGGGCCAATTTACACAATACCCATGTAGAATTTAAACAGTTCATAATGTAATGGATATTACACAGGAGCCTAACACTACAATTAAAATGATTTTCATCAGATAGAGAAGCTCTGGTTAATCAGCTTCATAAAAGTAAATATAAATGAACTAATTCATAGCTTAAACACACAGAAATGGAGCAGACTTGGAAAGTAGTTGCTGCGGGGGGGGGGGTGCCCCTACCGGGTGACCCCTAGCCCGGCTCCCGTAGGAGGCGCCCCCACTATTTGTTTTAGTCCAGTTGAAAGTGCCCTCGCTGGACTGGTGGCTCTCCGGGTGGCCCTGGGGATGTTCCCGGGGGTGGGGCGTCCACGCCCCCAGGCCAGACTTTTCTTTTTCTCGGGGGTGCGGCCAGTCCCCCTCTGCCCAGGGCCATAGCATCTGTTCTTGCGGAGGGAGGGGGCCAGGCTTCCCGGGTCGCACGCCGGAGGGGTGGCCGGCCTGGGCTCTCCGGCCTCTCCACAGGACGCCCTGCTTTCCGCCCCAGGCTGCTGGAATCGGATCCCCAGAGGAGCGGCCCCCCCACCCCCAACCCCGGGCCTGCGTGGCATCCTGGCTAATCCCCGCCGCCGCTCGGAAGGAGGCAGCCGGTCTCAGCAGCCCGGGATCGCTCCTCTCCCCTTCTGAGCACGCGAACTTCCTGGGCTTCTGCGCGCTGTTTCCGAGCGGAGCCTTCCCGGGGCGTTTGCAGAGTGGGGTGCCGCTTTGCCTGGAGCGGTCGCCCTCGCCGGCTGCCCGGGAGAAACAAGTAAATAAAGCCCATATTTCAAGCTTGATTTCCTCCGGCACCTACTGTGAAATATGATGACTCTTCAGGGAAATAAAGGCAGGGCCGGGGGATTAGCGCGCACGGCGGCCACCCCGGAGCCGGCCGCGGCGCGGGGCGGCCGCTCGCAATTAGGCGCCGCGTGCTAATGACAGGTGAGGCGAGACGTCTCGCCTCTTTGCCATCGAGCGGCAAATCCATGTTTAGCGGCAATAAAGAGTTTATTGGTGTTAAAGCCAAAGATTTTCTGACGTGGGAGAGATTTTCCCTTCATAACAAGAGTGTTCAGTCCTCCGCCGCGGCTCCGGAGGTGAGAGATGCAGAGCGGATGTCAGCTATTTCCTCGGAAAAAGCCAATTAAAGGGTAATTGAGGAAAGGATGAGAATGCGCGTTGGACCCCTGTGGGCGCCCACGCCCGCGCCCCTCCTGCGGCGCCACCCACGTCTCCCAGCTCGGGCGCGTGGGTGCGCACGCTCGCCCACACGTGACCTTGGTGCGGACTTCGCCCAGCCGCCCGCCCAGGCGGGGTCAGCGGCCAGGGAAGGGGCCCCGGGCTCTCCCTGTCCGGGCTCCTGCGGCCCCGCGGACGCACCCACAGGCGGACGGGCAAGGACCTGGGGGGCCGCCTGCGATGCCAGAGCACCCCAGCTGCAGAGACCCCTGGTCACAGCAGACACTCGCCAGATGAGTGCGTGCCGCACGTGTCTGTGTCCACACCTGTACATGCACACGCAAATGTGTGCCCATGCAGCATGTAGGTGTGTGCAGTGCCCCTGCGTACCCCTGTGTGCACACGTACATGTGCATGTGTGCACACACACATACCCGTGTCATGTAGGCAGGCAGGATGTGTGGGGTGTATGCCCCTGCTGTGTGCTGTAGCTGTGTGCCCATGTGCCCGTGTAGCTGTGCATGCACACATGTGACTTCACGTGCAGACACACACACACACCTGTGCAGCACACGTGTGTGCACACACATGCACACACATGTGCACATGTATCTCTGTATGTGTAAAGATGTATACCTGTGTATGTGTGCACAAGTACATTATGCACGTGTGCACTGTATCTGCACACACATGTGCTGTGTGTCCACATGCGTGTGCACGCCTCTGCATGAACAGTGCATCCAGGACACACATGTACTTTCTGGTATGTGGCATGTGCGGGTGGCAAGCCTGCACATGTAGGTGTGTGCACACAGGTGTTGCCATGTGCACACGGCGTGTGCTCCTGCGTGTGCGCAGGTGCAGGTGTGTGCGGGCATGCTTCCCTGTGTGCTGCATGCGGACATGGACTGTGTACACGCACGCGTGCCCACCCCAGCCTGAGCCCAGTGGGCAGCAGGAGGCTCCTGGCGGCTCGCCCCCACGCCCACGGCACGCTCGCCCAGGCTGTCTTCAACACACACCGTGCTCGGGGAGGGAAGGGAAGGGGGACCGGCTAGAAAGACATGGAGGAATTTAAGGCCAGCCGCTCCGGAGGGGCTCCCGCGCTCGACGGCGCCCCGGGCCGGCGCCCGCAGATTAGCCGGGCGGTAATGTGCGGCATAATTGCGCGTGTGGCTGTCCCCGAAGTGGAGCCTAATTGCCTGACAGGACGATAACTTTGTGCCGCCCTCACCTTGTTAGGCCCTTTTTGATGCAGTTCAAGTGCAGCGTGGCCGCAGGTGCGCCTAATTTACCCCGCTGCAGAGCGCGTGGGGCTTAATTGCACAGTGGTTGTTAGGAAAAATTGGTGGGTGGAATATCAAGTGACTCACTGTATGCCGATGGCAGATGGTGTGAAGAGGCGCTGCGGGCTGAGTGGATAGGTGAGGTGAGTTAATAAAAGATGTAAATTCTGGCCTAAAATAGTGAGGCGCGCGGCATGTAAGAAAATTTAATTAAGTGGCTGCTATTTCCCCATCCATCGGGTTTTCTCCGCCCTGGCTAAGGTCGCCCCGGGCGTGCTGGACGCAGCCAGAGAAGTGGCCCTTTTTACTATCTGTCCTTGTCACTGTCAGCGAGGACTGGAGCCCAAGTCTGGATTCCAGGAAATTATGTGGAACTTCTTGAAAAACGACGGAGGACATCGAGCAGGACGAGCGGCTGTGGAAAGACAGCCGAGCAGGTTTTTGGAAAGAGGGCCTCGCTGGACGGGATGCCTGGGCGCCGGGGAGGACAGAGACCCCTGTCCGGCTCACGGGGCAGGGCCGTGTCCAGACGAGAGAGGCTGGGTGGGGCAGTACCCCATTTTTTCTTGGGTGCTGTCTGGTGTCCACTGCCCGGGAGCCGCAGGACAGCACAGCGCTGGCCCTGGTACAGCTTCGCACATGCCTCAGCGCAAGGGCCGCGGGTGGGGACAGAGCCTGGGCCTCTGGCCTCCCCTGCAGCCCTCGGGCCCCACTCTCCGCCTCTGCCCAAGCAGGCCCCGGCCCTGTCAGCATCTTCCACTGCTCCGTTGAAAACAAGACTCGTGCCGACCTTTCGCAGAGGCCCTCAGACAGCCGCCACGGCCCCTGCTCAGAGCTGTGCGCACGGCGACTTCGGGCCCTGTCCTGTCGCGAGTGTGCTCCACTGGGCAGCGGCGGCCTGGGGGCTGGGGCAGGGCCGTGTGCGTCTGGGGAGGGGACGTGTTGTGCTCGGCGCTTGCCTCTCCTGAAGCCACTTGCGCACCAGGTGTTCAGATGGAACTGGGCGTCCGTGTCTTTACTCACTGAGGCTGGCGGCCCATCGGGGCTCCCCAGCGGTAGTGGACAGAGGTGCAGGCAGGGCACGGCGTCAGGTCGGCTGTTATGGCAAAGCCGGGCCTAGAACGTCAAGACCCGTGGTTGCCTCCTGCGTGGAGATGCCTAGGCCACCCTCTCTGCCACGCCCCCGAGGGGACCTCCAGCCTTGCCCTCAGGGCCACCGGCGGGGGCCTCCCTCGACCCCTCACCTTCCCCACCCTCCTGGCCCTCCCCACCCAGCTCGTCTTTCACAACGTTTGCCTGTCTGATAACCCTAACAAATATCCATTTTTTGTATTTTTATAGATTCTTTCTAAAGTTTTTCCTCAAGTGCAATCAGAACTGTTTGAAGAATGCAGGAAACCCTCGGGATATGCGGAGATTCCAGGTACTCGTCTGAGACACCCCGGTGGCGACCGTGAGGCAGGCGGCTTCTGGGGGGCCCGGGGGTGCAGGACTGGCCTTTAGTCCTCGGGCTGGGAGCAAACCGGAGTGGGCGCTCTGGAGAAAATACTGGCAGCAAAGGGGCTGGGTCCTGAGCACGCCAGGGCAGGGGGGCCAGGGCCTGACTTCCTGGAGTGTGGGTTCAGCGGGGCTTCCCCCACCTTCAGGCCTGGTAAGCCTCACGGGTGTCGCACAGGGTGTTTAGGTTTTTTGCAGACATGGTCCCTGTACTGCTGGCCTCTGGCCAGCCTGTGTCCATCTCGGCTGCTGCTGTGCTCGCTGACCAGAATTCCGAGACCCTGTGAGGGTCCGTGGGTTGGTTTTAGGGACTATGGACTGACTGGGTCCTCAGGGGGTGTCACCGGGGGCACGTTTAGGGGGGCGGGACCTCCAGCCCCTCCTTCACATAGGGCTGCCCCTGCCTGCTCCAGGCCGCACACCCCAGGAACTTTCCCCGGCTCAGCTGCCTGCCCCGAGGTGGACGGTCCTCTGCCCTCCTCTGCCCTGGCTGGGCGAGTCCCCTCGCCCCCGGCTCTCGTTCTCCCCACAGAGAGCTGGTGGGCTCGGGCATCAGTCACACCTTCTGGGGAGAGCTCAGGAGGCTGCCCCAGGGGCGGCACCTGCACACACGCCGCGTTGTTTTGCTGATTTTAACTGTGACAACAGCCACAACAGTGACTGGTCCCCATGACCAGAAAGGCGTTGGCAGAAACGGCTGCTCGACCACAGGGGTTTGCCAGACGACCCTTAGCTGGACCGAGGTGGCTCGGCGCCCGCTGCAGGCCAGGTGCGGGTGGCTCTTGCCGGCCGTGGGGCCTGCTTCTCCGCACCGCTGGCACTCCCAGGCGACGCCTGCCCACAGCCTGGAGGCCACACGTGTCTCAGCAGAGCGCCCAGCGCCCGCCACGTCGCTGCTCAAGGACGTCCTGCAGCCTCTTTTGCTAATCTCCCGCCTCTTGAAGGTTTAACGATGCAGGAGCACGTGGGCCCTGCCAGCTGGCTCTGTAGAGGTGCTGCCATGGGTCCCGGCCGCGGCCTGTCCGCCTGCTCTGGGCTGAGCCCAGCGCCTGACCTGCAGAGGGGCAGCAGGGGGGACAAGCCCTCCCTGCACGTCATCTTCTCCTAGCGCGTGACGTCCAGGAAGGGGCAGGCCCAGTGGACCTCCTGTCCGTAGGTGTCCGTGCCTGCGCCCAGAGATGGGGTCCGGCAGCCCGGGCGGGGGCGGCAGGCAGATGGCCAGTGGACGCCTGGGACAGGAGCAGGTGGGGTCAGGGCCCTCCCCAGCCTGTGTAGGCGGCTGCCCGCGGGCCAGGCCAGAAGAGAAGCCGGCCAGCCGGCGGAGCTGGGCCCGGGAGGCGGGCGGCGGCGGCGCCATGGGGCCTCGAGGCTCGGGGCCTGGGGCTGCGGGACCCGCAGAGGGCGCAGGGAGTCACCGAGCAGGTGTCCCCGGGAGGGCATGGTGGGGTGTGCTGGCTGCTCGCCTGCCTCTGTGTCTTGTGCAGCCTGAGATTTTTAATAAAAACTCAGTTACAGATACACGCATCACATACAACATGTAACTGGGAGGTTTTCTTGCCCCAAGATCCGATGAGTTTGTCATCTTTGGTCGTCCTTTCGTCCCTAGCGGATTTTGAGAGCCGTTTTGGGTTTATAGAAAAGTCCCATCAAAAGTCCTGGGCCCCCCCATTGCCGCCCCCCGTCCTCACAGTCCCCCCTTACGGGCATCTCACACCTGGGCCTTCGCCACATCTGATGAACCGATGTTGACACGCGGTGACTCGTGGGGTCTGCCGGGTCCTCTCCAGGGCCCGGACACGCACCCGCCCAGCCCTGCTGTGCCCGTCCCTGCTGGGCCCCCGCGGCCCTGGCTCATGGTCTCCGGGCCGGGCCCACCACCCACTGCTGCAAGGCCCGGGCTGACCCTACATCTGCTGCCCCAGCCTTCTGGAGATGACGGCCTGATGGGTCGCGCTGTCCACGGCCCGCGCCCGGCAGGAATGTCCCTCTGTGGAGCCCTCGTGGCACCACGCCTGGGCTCGCTGGGGCGGCCTCGGTGGCCAGGTCAGCCCCGCGCGGCAGCGTTGCTCTCCTGCGAGCCGCGGCTGGGAGCTTGGGGGTCTGGCCCTCTCTTCCCCGCCGCCCCCTGACCGCAGCACGGGCAGCCTTTGGCTCCAGCGGAAGGGGGTCCCCTCGGCAGGCCGCCTTAGCTGAGAGCTTGGGAGAGGCCCTTCCCAGGCTGGCCACATGTCCTCTCGCCTTCAGCTTGGTCTTTAGATGCAAAAAAGTTCAGTGCAAGCCCTGAGTGGTAATTGTAGGGTTGCCCCAGACCCTGGGGTGCCAGAATGTGGGGGTGCCCCCGACTCGGGAAGCCCTCCTCCGGCCATCCCGACCCCGCGCCACTGTCGGGGGCAGTTGCAAGCGAACTCATTTTAATTAGATAAACTATCAAATCAATAGATGAACAGATCAATCAAAGCAGCAGCTTTAAAATGAGTGGCTGGAGGGGTGTTTCTGCAGCTAATGGCTGGGAGGACTCTCTGAATTGAATTCACTTGTTAGCATAATAGGAGATTAAACTGTAATTAGGGGAGCGGTTCTGAAGAGCCGCAATCTCCAGTCAAAACAACAAACCAGAGACCCGCCCACCCCGTCCCCTCGGAGCCGCTGCCTGCTGGGGGCACCGAGCCGGTGGGCCCCCCCCCTCCCCCCGCCCTCGCGGCCGCGTCTCAAACCCCCTTCCTCTCCGCAGGTGGTTGTGTCGACCACAGTCAACGTGGACGGCCACGTGCTGGCCGTGTCCGACAACATGTTCGTCCACAACAATTCCAAACACGGGCGGCGGGCCCGCCGCCTCGACCCGTCAGAAGGTACGGCCCCTTCTTATCTGGAGAATGGTACGCCCCGCCGCCTGTCTGTCCGTTTGCGATGCTTCTTTCCGTTGCGCCATCCTCCGTGTCCATGCACGCCCGTCCTCCCCGGGGTCAGGCCTCCCGCCCGCGGGCCGGGCCCTCCTGCGAGTGGACGGGACACAGGCCTCTTGGCCCCCTCGGCTGCCCCGGGAGCCCGGCCCCCCCCAGCCCCCCATCCGGGTCACGTCGCTGCTTTGCTTTCTGTTGCCGGGAGCGACTCTTGCCGTTTTACTTCATTTGCTTCTCCTTGGGCTGGTCGTGAGCCCACCCGGAAGCGCACCCCAGATACCTAGTCGGTGGGGGTGCCTCCCGGCCCAGTCAGCTCCCAGTGGACTTCGGGACCCTCCCCCGATGGAATGTGTGCACGCGTGTGCGTGCGTGAGGGGCCGGTGGGGGCTGTGTGAGCACAGCAGTGTAACACGTTTCTCCCGAACGCTCCAAGCCGCCGGTTTCTCACTCTGCCGGCTACAGGCGAGGGCTGTGGCCGCGCGGGCAGGAGCCAGCGCCCTGGACGCAGCATGGAGCCCCGGAGCTCGGGCCGGCCCGCTCTGCGCACAGGTGCTGGGCCTCCGCGGCCTCCCCAGCGTGTGCCCGTGTCCTCGCCCACACCCGAGAACACGAAGTGGGCCGAGAGGGCCGCGCCAGGTGGTTTTCCCTCCAAAGCGAGTGGCGACACGACGCCGGGGCCCCCAGAGCAGGGACACACGCACGGAAATCGCCTCGAGAGGCAGCCTCCAGGCTGAGATGGGGCCGGGAGCCGGCGGGAGGCAGAGGCGGGCACGCGGGCAGGGGGCGGGCATATGCAGATGATCGTAATGAAATACGATTCAGACATGAACACGGGAAGACAATTTATGAATCTGCTGTGGACCACAAAAATAAACTAATTTGTTTTTCTACATTAATGACTAAGGTATAAGAGAACAAAAATATAATAATCAAAGGTCGCTCTGGGCACCCGAGCCATTAGAACTGTGGCGTGCTGTTTATCTCCTTCCTATGCACGGAGGAAGGTGTGTGTTTTGCTTAGCAACCAGCGCTAATGAGGCTCACAATTAGGAAGGTTGAATCCCCGTCCCCAGCTCCTGGGTCCCCGGGGAGCCGGCCTGCGACGTGACAGGCTCACGGCGGCCCTCAGCCCTCTGGTGTTAGGCCGTACTCTGGGTCCAAAATCAGCCTCCTCTAATGAGCTGTTATGATCTGAGCGCAGTACAAGTATTTATTTTTGTAAGTAGCATGAAAAAGCATTTGACTCTAAGCAGAAAATACAGCATTTAGAAAAATAAAGGCCACTGGCGGGTACCTCGCCGGTAAGCCCCAGCGCCTCAGAAGCTGTTTGCAAAGCGATCCCGCTCAAGAGCCTTTCAGGGCTGCTTCTCAGGGCTTATCCGCACTAACCGAGCTCTCGCTCCGCCCCGAGAGCGGCTCCCGTTTGCAAGCGCGAGTAGGTGAGCCAGGACCAGCCCGCTTCGGTGCTCGGGGGCCAGGCCCTGGTGCCGCAGGAGCGGCGAGCCCGGGGGCCGGCGGGTTCTCTCCAGGATGGCGCCGCCCCCGCGCGCCCAGCCCTCCCGAGAGGGCCAGCCTCCCGCCTGGCCAGCGCCTGTCCTGGGATGGGCGTCGGTTTTGCGTCAGTCCCACGTTCTTCAGGAAAAAGCACCCACGACGCGCGGCGGGCCGGGGGCAGCCGCTCCCGGCTCACACCTCATTATCCAATCATCTCACAGTCAGCGCAGCGTGGAGCTCACGCCGCCTTCCGGGGAGACGGCCCTGCTGCTGCCCTGCCCGGAGCCCCCGAGCAGCCCGGTTATTTACAGTTCGGAGCCGAGGCCCGGCCGCCGCCCTCCACCCTCGGCGCCGCGCGGCCACGCGGCCTCTCGTCTCGCCTCCTTGTCACTTGTCCCTCGTCAGCGGCTCCGGCCCTGCTTAAACCTTCCGTGAGCCGGGCCCAGCACCCGGCCTGCAGCACAGAAGCGATTTGCATGCCAAGTGCTGTAATGTGGTTAGGTTTATGCAATAAGGACAAGCGAATCCGGGCTGCGGGGCTTTAGCGAGTTAAGGGGAACAGATGGCCCTGGGAGAGGTAAAAGGTATAATCCCATCAGCTGGAGTATCAGCCAGCCATCTGGACATCCCAGCACAATTACAAGACATTTTAGCAGGCAGAACAAAGAAGTCTTCATGAGGCAAGATTAGGCCTGTTTGAGTGCCTCAATATTGTGAATGCAGGCGGAGGTGACAAATGCCGGGTATTACTCCAGAGAGCTTGCTGATTAGCGGGGACCGGCCGGGGACGCTGCTTACTAATAGAATACCGGGGATGGCAGAGACCCCCAGCCGGCCAGGCAAACCCAGCGTTGGGGTCCACGGCACGGGTTCAAGCGGCACCCCTTCCACCTCTTGAAGCCCTCGCCCGGCCGCCAGGCTCCCGGCCATGCGCCGGGGCCTCTCTGGGCCAGCGGGCCGGCAGAGGCCCGTCCGGTCACAAGCGGGTCGTTCGGGTGCGGTGGGGCCCGCAGGGAGGGCCGCCCCCGGCCGCGGAGCCCCAGCCCGGGGGGAGCCAGGCCACGCCGAGGGCGGGAGACCGGGGCCCGTCTGCAGGGCGGCTTCTCACAACTGCCTGGGGAGAGAAGCGGGGAGCAGGCAGGCGGGGGCCCCATCCGCACCGCGCTGCTGCTCCCCCTCTGCCACCTTCAGCTGCCGGCCGGCCCCTGTCATCTGCTCGAGTGCATTGTGCGTGTGTATCATTAGATCTCCAGCGCTGCCTGTGTAATTCATTTTGCTATGGTTCCCACTGAACACATGTCCCCGCTCTCCGTGTGCATTGAAATGTATGCAAATGCAGGCGGAGGGAGATGGCTATCGGGGCGCCGGCCGCGTCGCCTCTGCGAGGAGCCCTGCGGGTTCCGGGCCGCGTGGCTCTCTCTGGGCCACAGCTGCAGGGAGCAATCTCCTGTGCACGCAGTGGATCCTGCATTTTTTTCTTTTCTCACCTCCAAAGTAAATTTGTTTACTGTAATTTTTTTTTGTGAATTATTTGCCATAATTGGCTGTGCTGATGAAGGTCACCCCCTTGGAGGAGACTTGTCAGTCTTTAGAGAGCTGATCCTTTTCAAATGCTCTCCATGCAATTAAGAAAAGCAAATGTCACTCGGAAGCCTCAGAAATGAAAATTTGTATGAACTTATTAGCATGAAGTCAACAGCGCTAGTTAAGGGCAGGTTCCCCGCGCGCGCCGCGCCCGCGCTGCCGAGGGAGCTGCGTGTGGAATGAGCAAATATAACCCCCGCTAGTCCAACATTAAAGCAAACAAAGGGGGGTGGCTGTCGGCGGCACGCTAAACAACAATAGCTAATGGTGATTAACCAGGCGGGCTGCCCGGCCGCCCGACCCGTCAGGGAGCCCCGCGCCGGCCGCACGCTCCCTCTTGGGGTTCACGCAGCCCGCGCCCCCACCCGGGGTCCCTTCCCGCGGTGCGTGACACGGGACTCCGGGAGGTGAACAGCCTCCCGCCCCCGAGATGCCCACGGGAGGCTCCCGGGTGCCCAGCCGCGCAGGGGAGCCCAGGACCCCGGGGCCCGCTCACCGCGCCCCGACCCAGGCCATGGGGGGTCGTGAGCAGCAGCGGAGGGGGACCAGCGCCGAGTGCCCTGGGGGCAGGTCGGCCCTCCCCCAGGACTCCTTGTCACACCCCGCCCCCAGGGCGCTGGGAGAGGCAGGCGGCTCGGGTGGGGCGTCGTCCTCTCCCTCGATGGAGGACAGAAGCCTGGACCCCACTCCTGGGGTTGTCACATGCAGTCTCAGCCCCCAGCACTTCTCGGGGCCACACGGCACCGGCACCTGGGCTCTCTGCGTGCCCAGGGGACAGAGGTCGAGGGGACCCCAGCCTCCCGCAGACAGGACCCCACAGGGAGAGCGCCCGGAGCCCGTTAGCTGCAGGGGGCACCCGAGCCCCAAAGGCCTCGTGGTGGGGAGGCCCGGCCAGCCGGAGCCAGGGGCAGGCTGATCAAAGGGCAGAACAAAGCTGCCTCCACGAGGCCGCAGCCTCCACAGCCTCCTCGTGGGCTGCTGGGTCCTGCGCTGCCCACCCCCCGGCCACACCTGTGCCCTGCTGCCGACCCCTAGACCCCCAGCAGCGCCGCCATTGGAAGGACGCATGCAAATGTGCGCGCCTCGAGACGGGGGTCAGGCCCACGCGGGGCTCCCGTGGACAAGCAGTGTTAGGTGGAAAGGGGTCCCTTTGACAAGAGAGTTAATACAGCGCGTTTGATTCCTCCCCCCCGATGAAACGTGGGAGTAGCCCTGTGGAGGGGCAGAGGCAAGTGGAGTTCTGAACCAAAAGGCCGAGTTCGCAGCTCGGAAAGCCCCAGCTAGCTGCCCTGGTCTCCCTCAGCCCAGCCGGCTCTCAGTGACCGGCAGGCGGATGACCTGCGCCCTGGCAGATGACCTGGCCTGGGCCCTGACCGCGGCTGCCACGGGGCCCCGCACGGCGCCCGCGACCCGGCCTCTGTGTTAGCTGGTGCTTGGGGCGAGCTGTAACCCGCCCACGGGCCGGCCCTGTGGCCCTCGCGGCGGAGCGGGGCGGCCGGCCCTGAGGTCTGCCTCTCCCTGTGCACAGCCACTCCGTGCATCAAGGCCATCAGCCCCAGCGAAGGCTGGACCACGGGGGGCGCCACCGTCATCATCATCGGCGACAACTTCTTCGACGGGCTGCAGGTCGTGTTCGGGACCATGCTGGTGTGGAGCGAGGTAAGCCTGCCCGAGGGGGCACTGGGGCCCGCCCCCAGGGCACCGGGAGAACGGCGGAGCCCCCGCACAGCACACCCCCTCCCAGGGACGGCCCTGGGGCTCCTCGGTGGGCGGGTCCAGGCCCCCCACCCCGGGTGCGGCCCCCGGCGGCCCCAGTGCACCGGGCCGCGAGCGCTGGAATTACTGGGAGCAGGTCAAGGAGACATATGGAGGCGATTTCCATCTGGATGATGCCCCGCGGCCTTTCCTGCGCGCCCAGACCTGGGGTCACTTGCAGATATTTTTCTTAAAGACAGTGCAGAGCTCAAGTCTCTGGGTGACAGCCAGGAGGGGCGTTCCGAGCCCAGGGCCCAATTTGTGCTCATTTTGGTAATTCTGTCCGACCGGAGCCGCCCCGGGCCGCTGAGCCTGCCCCTGTTGCTTTCCACAGCTGATCACGCCCCACGCCATCCGCGTGCAGACCCCGCCGCGGCACATCCCCGGGGTCGTCGAGGTCACCCTGTCCTACAAGTCCAAGCAGTTCTGTAAAGGTGCTCCTGGGCGCTTCGTCTACACCGGTGAGTGCTTGCTTCCGACTTTCTCCTCCCGGGAGAGCGGCTGTGGCCCGAGGGGGCGCCGGCCCGAGGGGGCGGGAGGACGGGCCCTGGCGGATGACAGTTTCTGCATCCTTGTCCAAGTTGGCCTGACGCTGTGGACAAGTGGGTCCCGCTGGCTGAGACGTGCTGCCCCCCCCCCCCCCCGCACCTGCAGAAGGCACGGGCGGGGTGTCCTGGCAGCAGCTCCCCAGATTCCGGGCACCGCATGGGCCTGTCTTGGGGCCAGGAGCCCCGGGGCAGCGACTACCTTGCCAGTCTGCCCTGTCGGTCACCGTGGTCTCCCCGCGCAGGCTGAGAGAGGTCAAGGCTGTCCTGGGGTCACGTCTCCAGCAAGGGGGGGCTCCGACGGTAGCTGGTCCCCTCCTCCCGGTCTCGTCTCACACCCACCTGCTTCTAAGGGTCAGTTGCCAGCGAGGCCGCCTGGGCCACGCCTGGGTGGGGACACGGTGTGCTCCCACCAGCACACACATCACCACGTGGGACTTGCCTGGGGCTGCCGATGAGAACCCCAGAAATAAACTCAACTTAGTGCCCGTTGCGCTTGGGCCTCTATCCTGGCCGTCTGCAGAAAAGCAGGTGTTTGAGAAGCACAAGTGCTTGTTCTGGAAAGGCCGGCATGGGTCCCCGGCACTGGCCTGGCCTCCAAGGGGGCACAGCTGCCCCTCTGTCCGGCAGGTGGGCGCCCGGTCCCTTCCACGGTGGGGTGGAAGCAGCAATGCCACATGCCCTGGGGGAAGGGCTGAGCGGAGCACGGTCTCTTGGCCATTGTCACCCAGGGCCATGCCTGACTCGGAGCTGCTGCCCGTGGCTGCCAGTGATGCTGAGGTCCCGGATGCTGGGTGCCCAGCGCCTCCCCCTCAACATCCCGTGGAGAGAGGCAGCGGCCCCACTGGGTGTAGCACGGTGCAGTGTTCGAGGCCCCAGAATTAAAAAGGAGACACGTCAAAACGGGTGTGCAGCTTGGGGTGTCCTGTAGCTCCTGGGTGAGGGCGGTGTTGGCAGAAGATGCACCGCTGGGGTGTCGTGGGAACTTGCTGGGCCCTCACAGCCCTCAGCTGGGGTCCGCCTCCGTGTGTGACCGCACTGCCCGCACACCCTCGGCCTCTCCTCAGCCAGCTGCGTCGGGCAGGCCTGAGTCCAGGTTCCTGGAGGTAAACTTCAAGGTGGGGCGCCAGGACTTGTCTGCTCTGCCCCGTGGTGGCTGGGGCATTGCCTTGTGCCTCCACTGCACCCCACTTTCTCCTGGGTCTACCTTGGGGTTGCGTGAGTGTTGGGGGGACTTGAGGCCCATGGGGGTGGCAGCCAACAGACCCCCTCTGTCGAGAGTCCTGGGCCTCAAAGGGTTGGGCACGTGACCGTGCCAGTGGCCTGGCTGGGCAGGGCGTGGAGGCTGGGCGTGTGCGAGGCGGGGACGCCCTCTCGGACCCTGCTGTCAACCAGACCTCGCAGAGGGGGCAGCCCCAGAGAGAGGCTCCCAGCCGCTGCCACGAGTGGTGACGCCTCTGTGAGCAGAGACGCGGTGGCAGGAAGGTCCAGTGCTCCTTCCTTGCGGCCTGCCGATGTGGGGACGCGGCCGAGGGGCCGAGGGAGGCCGCACAGTGTGAACACGCAGGTGCTTCTGGACACCCAGCCTGGGCGGGCGGAGCCGCCGGTCACTGCTGGGGAGCTCATGGCCATTGTCTCGCCCCTCCGGGGCCGGTGTGGGGTGTCAGTAGCGCCCCAGGACCTGGCCCCCACCCTGCCAGAGGGACCCCTTCCTTGGCCCCCTCTCCAGGGCTGATCCCCTCGGAGTGGGTGCCAGCACCCACCATCCCTGCCACTGGACACCACGACTGCTCCCAGCTGCTGGGGCCCCCGGGGCCACGAGCTCAAGGTGCCGGCTGCCCAAGGCGCTGGGGTTTCCGCCGCCAAGTGAGCTCCCACGAAGGGGCGTTTCAATGGGGCTATTCAGCGAGCTTAGCCTTGCTGGTGGGAGGTTGGTTTATTGCCTCCCCCCACACCCCAATCATTAGTGGGAATATACATTTCAAACGCTGTGTAAGGGATACGGGGCTACACTCTCAGGGAGCCGAGGAAAGGTGGGGTCATAACCTGTCTGACCTGGAAACTTCTGTCTGATTTGCATTGCCCTGAAATTGATGGGGACAATGAAGCAATCACTGGGAATTGCATCCCCGCCCCTGAAAACTGAGCCAGACCTTCTGGAAGGCAGGACACGGGCACGCAGCCCCTGCAGGGAGGGCGCCGTCCCCTGGGCATCTGGCTCCCATCAGTGTCCCCAGCCGGTGGCGGCTGGGACCCTCACGCCCAGCCCTCCCCGCGGAGGCGGCCAGGCCTGGGGCATGAACCCGGCGCGAGGGGCCCCGGCAGGGGCTGGGGCGGCTGTGCGGGAGCCTGAGCGCTCTGCTGGCAGCGACACAGCGGCCTTCCCAGCTCCAGACCCCGTTCGTCAACCCAGAGCGGGCCTGGGCCTCGGCGCTCGCCTGCAAGGGAGGCCGCCAGGCCCCGCCGTCCCCGGCCTCGCCGCTGCTTTCAGCCGCGGTCAAGACGCAATTGCCCTGGGAGGCGGCGGTGTTCAGTTGATTAGCGCGGTGAATTAAAAGAATGACTCACAGATGACATGTCCAGCTCCTCCAGCCCAGCCCCGCGTATTCCCCGTGAGCCTCACCCCTGTTGTAAGAAGGTCAGAAATTAGAGAGAGAGAACAGTTTTCAAGCGGCCAGCACTTAGGAGCAGAATTAACAATCACTCTGTATGTAATTGCGAGTTAACTGTAAATTGCCTCCTAGACTGTAAAACGCAGCGTAGACGGTGGGCACCTAAAATTAAATTAATGAGATATTTGCTGCATTTAAAAGCGAATAGTGCAAATTAATAACTGAGTGCAACGCCTGTTTTAATATTTGTCTAATAGTGTATCACTTGCTTGTTTAATAATAATTAAAACGGTCCCGGAACGTCCTACCTGCGAAGGGAACAGTTTCGTGTTCCTCTCACCGGTGGAAACACATCAAATTGTTAAGAGTAATAAAAGAAATTATTTTTTAATTAGAATATAAGCATTGCGGTGTTATTTGATTAAGACAAATTGGAAGTTGTACGCTTCTAATTGAAATTATGTTCCAACGAAAACTGCGTTTGCACACGTGTTTCCCCGCGTGAAGGGCTCGCGCACAGGGCCTGACACCCTCGAAACGGCATTTTGGGGCCCCGCGGCCCAGAAGAGACCCCCATCGGCGGTTGCGGCCCGGGGTAGCCAGGGGCTCTCCCCGTGACCCCGCGCCCAGTGTCCTGCGGCCCGGCCCGCCAGCCACATTTCTTTGGGTCAATTAAAGAAATTATCACAAATTACCGGGAGTCTGCATGTCGTGCACGCAGGCCGAGCCCGGCGAGCGGCCTCGCGCAGTTGGCAGAGGAGAGTAAACAGGCCGGGAGCTGGACGGCTGAGAGGCTGTCGCTCCGTGGGGACATAAAAATGGTTATTTTCTGCACAAAGACGTGCATTCAGTCTCGGCTTATGAAATCATTCCTCAGCCAGTAATTGCTAACAGTTTGTGTTCTTTCTGATACAGTATTTATGTTTCTTGGTTTTTGTAAAAGTCAGATTGTGCCCGAAACGGCGACACGTCGGGGCGGCTGCCCGGCTGGGCTGTCCTGGCGTCCCCGCTGCCCCTGGCGCGCGTCCACCATCCGCCGCACTTCACTGCCCCCCAAGAGGCGCCCGAGCGCCCGAGTGTTTTAAAGATCTTTTGTGCGCACTCGATGGGACTGTTTGGGGTGCGGGGTGCTCGGGCCCAGGCCCGTCCTGCTGCCCGCTAGGCCCACGCTCTCCAGCCCATCGTGGCCCACGGAGAAAGGGCTGCTCCCTGCCGTCCCCCACGAGTCGCTGCCCTACCCTGCCAGACACACGGAGCGGCCCCTTAGGCGGCCTGACTGTTAGAAAATTCTGACGGCAAATGCAGGCAGAAAAAAGGACATTTTAACCCCCGGTCCTGGACTGGGCGACGCGTGGGCCCCCTCTGTGGTCAGTGTTGCCCTCCCCTGCCCTGCTGTGTGGCGGCGCGTCCCAGCCCGTGAGGCCTGTGCCCTGGCCGCTGCCGCGGGCCCAGCTGTGGTGGGAGGTGTCCGGGGTCCTGGGTCCCTGGGGTGTGGGACCTTGGCTGAAGTGAGCTGTGTGGAAGCTCAGGCCCTGTCCAGACCTGGGCAGCGTGGGAGGAGTGACCAGTCCCCGGACCGCCCCCCTGTCCTGCACCCCGTTGGCTGGTCTGCGCAGGGTCAGCAGAGCCGAGCTGGCCCTGACTGCGGTGGCATCTGGGTCTCGTGTAGGGACCGCCGGCTGGGATTGGGGGACTCCGCAGGGCCCAGGGGGAGGCATCCGCCCGGTGTCCTTGAACCGTGCGGCCGGGCGTTAGACCAGAGGCCCACCCGTTAATCCGCAGCACGCTAAGTGGGCGCTGCCCGCGGGCCCCGTGACGGGTCCCCCGGAGAGGGGCGCGGGGGCGCAGCGGCCCTTCTCTGCTGTCTCGGAGGCGGCCGGGAGAATGAGACACCGTTTGTGCTGTTGCACAAGTAGACTATTTGTCCTAATCAGTGACACCCATTTACTAGAATTGCTTAAAATGAACTATGCCTCATACAGAAATCGCACATTTAGAGAGTTCCATTCATCATCTGAAAATTGAGGGCCAGTAAACTTTTCTGCTCCTCCAGTGGGATCACGGGCATGCATCAAAATGTTAAAAATGATTGGTGAGAGGGAGCTGTCACCCATTTATCAAGGAAAAGAACATTATTTGCTAATTTCCCAACCAGGCTGGTGACAGGGTGCTCCGTCTTTAGACCCGCGGTGACCAGCATGGCCTTTTTGTTATTAGTACGAGTCAAGCGCTTTTGGGCAGTTGCTAACAAGACACATTTGTCTGTCATCGCGGGGCTTTGCTTGCTTTCCAAGTGGCTGTGAC